CATTCTCCTTCTCCTCAACACAAGTTCATGCTTTGCTTTAATTAAGCAAAAAATATCTTACACTTTCCTTTTGTCTGGAATTCCTCTTTTTGTTTCTCCTCGCTACTACTAAAAACAAAATAAAAATCTAGCACTGAAGGTACCTGGTATTAATGTTTTTGTATCAACAGCTTTGACAGAATTTGGTTCCAGTGACCAAATATGACCATGACTCAACCATAAATTCCACATTCACTTTGTTGTCCACTCCAGATGTGAAGCTTCATATCCAGAACTGCTAATGCAGCAACATGTAGTATTTAATGGAAGTTATTTATTACCACATACACAGGTCTGCTTGCAATACTTCATATTTCAAGGCCCACAGTTTCAAAATGAGTTTTTACTCTCAGACCCTCTGGGTCTTAAGGCATTAGTCTGAACCTCTACAGTCTCTACTTTTAGATATTAGGACCACATTAAACTGCACAGAAGGCCTGGAATTCTGGGTAAGAAGTTTTCAATGCATAAGCAAAATCAGTGGCTGCTTAGGAAGAATTCAGCAATACCATAGAGGGAGAAAGATAAAAGAAAACAGCCTGAGAAAAGTAACCAATTTACCTGGAGTATTAACAGCATCTGAATAATAGAAGGCGGAACTCTGGCTCTGGAACGTGATAAGGCATCTTCCAATTTAATGTTGAGGGTAATTATATTCCTGAAGTGCAGAAGAGCCAGCTGCCGAACCGAGGGCTCCTTCCCCTTGGAGACAGAAACAAAGCAAGATGGACTATGAGCAGTATGAAAATGAGTTTCAAAAATCCTCTGTCAGAATTCCTTCCTCCACTTCTGAGGGATTACAAGAATGGTAAACCTGAATGAAAAGCAAAGGAAACATAACAAAGGACACAGAGCAGCCTACAAGTCTGCACAGTTAATTTGATTTGGCAGTAATGAACATTGCAGACAATGACAGTCTGACTGTGTATGAAAACCATGAGGGGTTGGGGTGGGGGATCATACCTGAGCACAGGATATACAGGAATAATTTGTACTTTAGCAGTAACGAAATGTATCTTATTTATTTTGTTAATAAAAAGCAGGGTTGAAAAAGGGTTGAATTCCCATTATTTCTCAAGATTCTGAGTACTAGCTGAGTACTATACCCAAATTATGGTGGGAATCCTGTCTCAGCTCACCTGTGGATCCTCCTCTTCTCTACAGTTTGGGAGACTTCACTATGAGGCAGAAGCAGAGCTAAAGTTTCATGTCGCATTTTCAAAGACATCTTTTTGCAGTTCAAGAATACCTTCTCATTGAAGTAAATCACATCTGAAGAACACAATGCTAGCTCTGCCTGCAGAGATTAACACTGCTTGCCTTATGAGGAGTCATAAAACTTTCTGGCATCAGCATTTTTTCCTTGGGTATATATGGCTGTACATACATATTCTTGCCTGCAGTTACAAGTGCTGCCTGCCAAATATTAATGCTTCTGGAAGGTCTGGTATTCAGCTGGTATTGACTCATCTCAGTTCGGAATAAAGAAGCCTGACCCAACCCCACCCATTCCTTCTCGCTTTGTTAATTATTTACACCGAAGAAAAGAAGGCCCCAAATCTGCTTCAGTTGCTGATAAATAGAATTTACAAGAGCACATAAGCACCAGCTGGGCTTTTGGAAGCAACCTCAGAACATCAGGCACCTAGATCTCTTTGAAATCACATGGGACTTGGGGCTCTTACCCCCTCCAGGTTCCTTGGAAAATTCAAGCAATTATTTCCATCTGAAAGGTGAGGAGACTTGTGTTGCTAAATTATTTTCAAAGGCCTCAGGAGCACCAACAGTGAAAAGAGGTATTTGGTGCAATTTTCAAAAAACATCTGAGTGAGTCCTAATTTAGTCAAGTCAGTACAGAAAACCAGGTTGAGAGCCTACCTGTAACTCTATGTTTCCAAATGCCTTGGATTTAAATTATGTGGCACTTAGAAAAATCTCCCATCATGTTCTAAGATGTTTTTAATACCTTATTACGTCTACCGTTTTGAAGTTTCTACTGCTAGGACACAAGTGAATAGGTGAAGTAGCCCTGTATGTTTTTAGAGCTCTTCTCTTTCAGAATCGAATTCGGTGTAAATTTGCAGCTCTTCTACTGAATTCAGATTTCATACCTGTTATTACCTGCAGATGCAAATGGTAATGTTGATTATATGTGGACAATCATTTCAGGCATGAAGTCCACTTGGAAAAATGGGAGAAAGTTTTCAAAGTTTCCCAACGTACGTTCGGGCACCAAAATCCCACTAAGATCTGTGGGCATCTAAAAGCAACTCCAAGATCACTTACACCTCTCTGGTACAGATTTCCTTGGGACTTAAGTGATAAGCAACGCTCTGTGGCCATCACTAAGTTAGAACAGTGAGCCTCGTCCAAATCAGATCACGTACCTATTGTGGATTTAAAATTACTGGAGTAAAATTCTGTGCTCATGTAAACTGGTCTAACTTCACCAACTACTGCTGTTCATTTATAGTAGCATAGAATTTGACCTTGAAAATACAATTCCTTTTCAAAAGTGGACATCAGAGATGAATTCACACTGCGGAGAAATAAATGTATATATTTAAATCAACACAGCTCCACTTATTTCAATGTGTGCATATTTCAGTTTGTCATTCGTAACCTTTTTTGACTTTTAGTGTGAGCTGACAGAAGGACTAACCATCCTCCGTGTGCTCCACTCCTGTTTTCAAAGTTCCCCTTCATCTTTTTCATCCAAGCACTTCAAACCTGTTTGCATAAGTAACTTATTTGCATGACATGACTATACAGAACAGCTGCACTGGGAGGTTAGCCCAAGGAGAGAGAGTTAAGGATTGCATCAATCTGTTGATGAACCAGTAAAGTTGCTTTTTCCAGTTTTTCAAGGTTCTATAGAAACAGAGTAATTTTTCACCTGCACAGGATAGAAAATAGCCTGAAGCATGGGCAGGACATCACTGAAGAAAAAATCCCAGGTTTCAGCTAAGGTATCCAGCAGTTTCTGCCCTGCAAAAACACAAAACAAACTAGTGAACCATTTAGGTTGCAATCAGCTAAATGCAAAGACTAAAATACGCAGGAAACAATGTGGATCTGCTATTATACACAAAGACGAATCATGTAACAGCTACTATCAGCAGTACGGAATTAGTATTCCTTTCACTGTATTGGATCATTCAGTATTTGTGTCTTCTCAGATGACACATCTAGCCTTCTTAGTAGACTCAGAGACTTTGAGGTTAAAGCTTACAGAGAAAAGCCTCGTGAAGAATAAAGAATAATAGCCCAGGTTACCTCCTCCTCTTCTTACAGTGATGTTCTCCTACTGGACAAGACTGCAGAGGAGAGCAGTAAGAGGAGCACACAGCAGGTTAAATGTGGAAACATTCCTGCAGAGAAATCTCCCTCACTGTGCTCCCCTCTGCTCACCAAGCAGTGGGTCAGCAGGGCAAGCTGTGCTCTGTGGAGATCCTCTACAAAGCATCCCCTCAGATTGATCCCCAGCTTCCCTGTATCTCCACTTAGATCGAAAATCTCCCCTTTCAAAGGATGCAGTCAAAACCTGGGAAGATATGAGTTCCCCATGGTCCTCACAGTGAGGCCACTCTCTGTTCCCTCCCCATCTGCAGCCATCTGGAAGCCTCCCCAGTGGAGATCAGAGAAGCTTGGGCGAGGTCCTACAATCAAGTTGGACACAGAGTTTCTCACAGAACATTTTGTAAAACACAGAGGCAAAGGCAGGAGCTGAGATCTAGGGGAGAGCAAGTCTGGCTCGATAGCTGAATGCTGGCTTCAAATCCCTATTCTCCAAAACATCCTGTGTGACCTTGGGCAAGCTCTTTAAATTCCTGTGCCCCTAGCCCAACTGTGAAATGAGGGCAATGCCACTGCACCTCCACCAGCAAGTATTATGGAGATAAATACATCAATGATTATGAGGCACTCAGACAAGACAATACGAGGAAGGAAATTCAACAGCAATCAATCAATCTTACTACTGGTGTCAGAATCATATACTATTCTTAATTTTGGTATTACAGCATCACTTAGGGCCTCAGCCAGGGAACATTTTGCCCAGAATTGCACACACATCACAAAGAAACTCTGCATGAAAGCATCTAAACTCCGAGTAAGCCAAGTGCAAATCTTTATTATGGGATACTTGATCTCCCTGCATTTTTAAGCACATGACAAATAGCACCAGCTCTGGCCCATCTGCAACTCCTGAATTATTCCTGGGTAGATGCCTTTAAGTGCTTGCAGTGACAAATGTGGATCACTGCGCTATACCGCAGCTGCTGGCTTGTGAACCATGCCAAAGTCTTCATTTCTGCACCACCAGGCAGGAGTCCTCTCTGTCCTACACACTCATGAAGAGTGAACAAGACTAAACGGGTGTTCTCAGCTTCGGTATTTTTAAAATCGTCTTGCACTAATTCTAGTGAAATACAGCAGGGAACCAGGTCCAAAATTTCCTAGCAGCTGTAGTAGTAATACTACTAATAATCAATACCATTGCGTTATAATCTCCAAATACTAGTGTCTCAAACAAGTTTCAAAGATTTAAATCCGATCAGGAAGGAGAAGCCAAACCACTCTATGCCTTGAGGGCAGAGTTTTAAAAAGAGTTAAAAATGTTAGCTGCCCACAAGTTCAGGTTAGGTGGAAACTAAGCCCTTACGAATTGGGCTCCAGAAGCGGGTGCTGAACATCGGTCCTTTTCAAATTTTGCTACTAGAATTGCACGAAGTCAAATCACCTTGTTAAGATAACCATGCCTTTACTGTCACACATTCCATTCATCTTGCGGGCAGCTTGTTTCGTGAAGTGAGGGATTCCTGCACAGCAGCTCAGAAAGGCTGCGGAGTTAACTGCCTTGTGCCAGGCAGGCCTTTTACTAGGGGCTGTGGAAGAATTCTTACAGTTTGTTGATGATGAGCAGCTTTCACATGGAGGAAAGTGACTTCCACGTCCTTTCAAGAATATGTTTGTTTTACGGTCAGGCAAAGATCCCTACATTTACCATATTTGCTGGAATCAAGGAAGCTGGGTTACTCTAAATGCTCATTTAAATGAAGCACAACAGTCAATTTTGTATGATATAAAAATGCACACTGTACTTTTGACAGTGCTTCTAAAAGTTAATTGAAACTTCTGAAAGAAATGTAAGAATTAAAAAATTATTGTTTCTTTGTTTCAAAACAAGAGCTAAAATTTTCAAAACTTCTTGCCGGACAAAACCTCTCCGAAGCATGCTCTGAATGTTCTTAGTTCTCTTTTGAAAGCTTCAACACTGACTGGATAGGGAAACCCAAATCATTGGATGCGGGACAACCTGATATTTGAGGGCAGGACCACTGCTGCTGCAGATCCAGCGGGGACGCTCTGCTCAGAACACCCTGCTCAGAATGCGAGCGCCCAAGATTTCTGTGCTCCATCTTCATGTCAGGTGTTTTGGGAGCCATGGGTTACTGACTACAGGATGGACTCCGGGGTGCTGCTGCCTTTGCTGCCAGGAAACTCAAATTCCAGCCTTGGGAAACTCACATCCAGCAGCAGTTCCCCAGGCAAGCTAACAGAAAGCTGTCAGAAAGAACTCTGCCTCTGAATGAAATTTCTAAGTTACAGCTACTTTCCCATAACTTGTCAGTTTTAGTGAGCTGACATTTCCAAGGACAGACTTGGAAAACACAGAGCAATTTAATCCTCACCTTACCAGCATTTCTGACCATATTTTAAGAGGAAACCACAAAATAATACACCAAATTCAAAACCAAAATAAACTTAACAGATTGCTGAAATTTTGTATTTGCTAAACATGTTCCCATATTTGAAAACCAGTTAGTGGTCTTACATTTCAATTTTTCTTCTCAGCTTTGATCTCAAACACCAGTGACAGTATTTTTGATTTTCAAGCTAATAAAACCTGAAGAAAAAGGTTTTGGACTTTGGTAGGTCTCTGCAAATAATTTGCTGATTTGATACTTAAAAAACAACTTGCTTTGTGATTTACAAAGCAGCCATGAAGGCCTCGAGATTCTTGCAGCTCCCCTTGTGCTCTCCAAGCTGCTACTTTATATAACTGAGGAATTCTGTGTTCAGCTTAGGAGAGTTTCAGTACTTTTCTGGTTTATTCTTTTAATGTGAACTTTATTCTCTTTTTGCAGTGTTCAGGGCTATTGTCTTTTCATCAGGAAAGCTGGGTCCCATTGCACCATCTTAATCTGATCCACTGTACTGTCAGTAATGAAAGGTCACATTTAGGATTTATAGATAGCTGAAACTAATGGAAACAGTTGTCTCCAGGCTACTGCTTAAACAGTATGTTTAGACTAAGTGGTATTATGACTGCAGCTTTGGAAAAGGAAAGACATATTTCTTTAAAAATGCCTGAAATCTCCCCGAAGATCTTCAGACTGTTTACATGGGCAATAATTCTTGAAGTTATTCCGAAACTATTTCATCCTCAGAGGATGTATGCCTACGTCTAGGACAAAATGGCATATTTAACAGCACATCTAAATGCTTCAAAATAGCACAGGACACGAAACGAGGGTGACTGTAAAATGACACATTGAGTGGAGGTTCTCCTTGATGTTTACTTCCAGAAGGTGACATCTCCAGAAGGTGCAGACAGACAAATGAAGCCTTGACTGCAAAAGAAGAGATAGTGTCTGACCTCGTTTACGTAAGCATGAATCCAGAATAACTCTTAAAACAATCTGCAGCATTATTTTGGACTTGGCTGGACACTTAACTAATTGGGATCTTAGTGCTCAGGGGTTTTTTTTTGTTTATTAAGATATCTCACTCTATTTTTCCACTTTTCCTTAACATTGAGCAGGCTATAATTGAAAGAGAAGGAAGTGTCCATGCTCTAGGTAATCCTTCCTTTATTCCCTCACTGCTGCTCCAGGCAACCACCTCTCCCTATGAAAGCCAATGGGAATACCAAGGCAGGACACAACAACAGACTGCAGGAATGAACTGAGACAAGCTAATCCATAGTCCCAGGAAGACAGCGGAAAAGCATCACACTGCCTCCAGAATGCATTTGCCAAAACTCCCGTGACAGACATAGAAAACCATGCTAAAATCCAAGTTACCTTCATAAAACCGGATCTTGTCCCTTAGGATCACCATGCCTTTTGTAAGCAGCTGATTCTGTAAATAAAATATAGACTACCTTTACTCAATTCTGTACTTCCCTACAGCTGTCATAGTTCACATTTTCTTCATTCTTAACTTTTGACAAGAAAGGAGGTCTCTCATTTTAACTATCAATCATCAAAGGACTCCTCCTGTGTTCATCTTGCTTAAATCACTTGGGACACTTGTCAAATGATGATACAATCACCTACTGCTTTCAGGATACAGCACATATTCAGCGTGGTACAAAGTGCTTCTCAAACTTCAAATGGCTGACCATGACAAGCATGTACTCTGTCTTAGAGAAGCAGAAAGAATACTGCTTCAATAGACAGTGTGTACTTACTGCTAAATGTCTTTCCTATTAGCTATATTGCAATGAACTTAACTGGTTTACTCAACAACTTAAATTTCTGAATGTCTGAAGTCTACTGAAAGACAGCAATGTCACACAGAAACACAGTGACTGCACAAATCTATTTCACGGCTTGGGCCTTCACTCTTTAACTACATATGTATAAAATCCAAATCTCATTAGTCCATAAATGACAGAACACAGAAAAGTCAGTGGATATCTCTGAATGGTTTCAAGGGGCTCCAGATCAGCATTCAGAGTGGGTGAAATGGTTTTGCTCAGTAGCATATAATGAAATCTGATTCAAATTAAAGAAATCACATGCCTACCTGCAGATATTCGGTGAAAAAGGATCCCAGTTCTGTTTTCAATAATTGCCTGTATTAAAAAGAATAAGAAAAGGATCTGTGTAATTAGCAAATTGTGTTAGCTGTGCACTGCATGGAAAAGAGGAAGTCACCAAGAGCAAAATATTTTCACAGGAGCACAGAGCCTGTCAATAATGTCTAACCACAAATAGTGCAAACAGGTCAACAATACCAAGACTCCCAACCAGCATTTCTGTGTGTTGAAAAACACCTGCTGTGCTTTCCCATGGCTCAGTTGCACGAACACATATGAAGGGAAATTGAGATTTGACCAAAAGAAGATGCTTTCCATCCTACATCTAACTTTTTAAAAAACGCTCGAGTTGTTGTCCTGCTGTGCCAGGCCTTCACTAGTGCCTGGCGTTGCACATGTGGGAAAACTCCCAGCACTCTCTGCCCATCTGTGGGTCTGAGCCAAAAAATGAGCCCGTGACTTGGCTGATGTGTTCAGACTCAAATCATCCCTGCTCTGCGTAAGGTTGAAAAAAAGAGCTGTGACAGAATGCTCAGAGAGAAACCTGAAGCAGGATGATATTCTGTGGGTTTTGTTGCAAGTGTCAAACTTGGCCAGTTTTTGTTGAAAGGGTCACGATCTTCCACTCAGGAGACCCACAACAGTTGACGTTTCATATCATTTCAGCGAAAAAGCAGGTCAGAATTCAACAGCTCAGCTCTGCCTTTCGTGTTTCTTCTACACTAAAACCCACAAAGCAATCTCAGAGAGCAAACCAATCTCACAAGTGAAAAAATTCCCACAAACAACCCTCAAATTCAGAAACTGAATTCAACCCGATCCACAAGCCCAACGTTGGTATCCAGGTAAAACTCACTACATTGCTAAAAAGCTGTATGTCATTAATTCTCACACGTTGGATGCTAGATATACTTCTCTGCACTCGGGTCTCTATTTAGATGTGTAAATGAGAGCTCGGGCCTTATGAAAATGTAACCCTGGATGAGCTTTCTGAACATTTGCAAATCTGGCCTGGAGCTCTTCTGAAAGCCTGTCTCTATGTGACCACCTCAGGTCCCATGAAGAAATGAGGTCAAATTTGACTTATCATGGAATCACAGAATGGTTAGCATTGGAAGGGACCTCAAAGATTATCTAGTTCCAACCCCCAATTAGGGTAGTTAGGTAAATTGCATAGTCTGTAACATGATATCATATTTGGGTTATGTCTTTAACTAACAAATAAATAATTAATCAAATTATTGAACTAGTAAACAAATACGCGTCTGGTTTAAGAAGTCCAGCATATTCCTGTGCTCCATGAAAAAGTCTGCAGAAGTTGGATCTGATGTTTTTAACACCACATGCTTCAGCACAGCCTCTTGAGATCTTCTGAAAGTTCAGGGAAAGGAGGAGCAGGTCAACCTTCAGGAGGCCAAAATACAGTATCTTATTTATTTACCCTTAAGCACACGCTCAGACTGACCTCATAGCACCCTGTGGAAGCACTCTAGGCATAAATGAAATACAAAATAAACAAAAGGAAGGAGGTTTTCAGATGCTCCTAAGCATCAAAATACTTTTCTGCTAGAAACCTGATTAATTCAGACAAACTATCTATGGACAAAAATTTTCAAGGCCAGCTCAGGATTTAGCCACAGTTCCCTCGTTGCTATGAATGGCTGCTATATGGCTAGACCTCTTGGGATGCTGTTACAACATATGGGAGAGGACAACCCTTGCAGTGCCCTGAGACTCCATCCTCAATTGTACCCACCGACAAGCCCTTGGCAGTAGCTAAAACCCACCTCCCTCAATGACTGTTAAAGTCTTAAAGCCTTAAGAGTACCTCAATGAGTACAAGGATGCTATAGCCAAATCGTGACATACTCACTGTCCTGGTTTTAGCTGGGACAGAGCTTTTTTTTTAGCAGCTAGAAGAGCTCCATGTTTTGGTTTTACTCAGAGGCTCTCTCTGAGAAGAACGTTGATAGCAAGTTGATGTTTATAGTTGGCACTGAGACCTCAAGGACTTTTCAGCTGCCGTGTTCTTGCCAGTGTGCAGGAGCACAACAGGATAAGGGGGGAGCATGGCTGGGACGGGGAGTCCATGACTCTTCTTACGATTTGTACTTAAACTTAAGATTGAGGCCAAACTGGCCAATTAGTATTCCATATCATGCAGCTTCATGCCCAGCATAAAAGTGAGGGTCAGCCGGAAAGAAGGGCTTTTGCTCTTCTGGGACTCTCACTTTCGGACTCTCAGAGTGCTTTCTCTCTCTCGGTCTCTATTTCGGGCCTCCCGTTCATCCGGGATTGCGGTATCAGGATTTATCTGTTTCGGGATTGCAGCTTTGGGAAGAGAAGGGCCTTGGTTAAGGGGTGGTGAGCAATTACACCGTACATCACTCGTTTGTATATATTTATCCTTGTACATATCCGTACATATATATACTGGTAGCGGTAGTAGTAAATTGTTCTTATCTCAACCCTCGGGTCTCTTTTCTTTTCCTTCTTTGATTCTCTCCCTCATCCCTGGGGGTGGGGGAAGGTGAGTGAGCGACTGTGTAGGGTTTGGTTGCCGGAGCGGCCTAACCCATGACACTCACTCAAAGTGGGAATTTACTGTTCAAGTGGTGTGATTTTTTACTGAATCACAAGTGATGGCACTAAAGGTTTTTCTTACTTAGAACATGGATGAACCATTTTTAAGTTAAAATAATGAGAAAGTTGCAGTTTTGAATTCTCCTATGACAGCGGCACTGTTTCAAAAAAATACTGATACTTTATGCTGACAGTTTTGCCTAATTTTCTGCCCTCTCCTCAAGCTAGCAGCTCTTTGAAGTCTAGTCCTGGATTCCTCACAGTCTTGAATCAGTGATTTGCAAATACATTCTCTTCTCATATTTTAGGTTCTACTCATAATTTCTGGCATTTAGAGCAGGAAATACAAAATGATGTTCTACTTATCCAATAACTAGCCCTCTGATAAAACAAAATCCCACCACATCTCCATTTTTTTCAGCCATGAATGAACTAAACAACCGACTTGTAGTTAATTATATGCACTGGACTGCACCACACCAAGCAGCACTACGGCTACAGCAGCAGCTCTGTGTACAGAGTGGAAGAAGAACCAACAGCACAATTAAAGCATCTTGCTCTTTAAAATCCTAATAATATAGAAACTTCATGCTGCTTAATTAATCTATTGTGAAATGGTGAGGCCCTCAGGCCACATCAGAACACTGGTGTTCAATGTTCTCTGTACCCATATTCATGCAAAAGAGAATCACAACAAAACTGGATCCAAGACATTGCTTGCATTTTTTTTCACCCTTGTCTAATCTCCTTTAACAAAAATCAGTTAGGTTGTCACCTGTCAGATCCTGGATAATTCAGATTACTGAACCTTATCTAGCTATACAGACATCACAGTAGAATTCAGGCAAAAATCTGATCAAACCTAAAAGAGATCTCTGATCAGCTATAAGACATCGTTTCAAGTGCATCCAATTTTGAAGCTAGTCATTTTGCACTCTTATGAAGCTTGTATATCGTTGATATCAGGTTTTCATTGCCTACTTAATGACTTTGTAAATTAAGGTGATAATATAAATTCATATAAAATATGCTAAAATAGCTCCTGACTTTTTTTGTATCTTCCTGCTGCTGCTTCTTTGGTTCATTTTGAAATTAACTCTTGCAACATTACTTAGAATGGAATGTCTAACACTGTACAGTATCTGATTTTAACTTTATAAGTTAAATAAAGTTAAATCAAGTAAATGAAAACAAGTGATTTTACTGGGTTTGAACTCTTGTTGCAAATGAGGAAATGCCACTAAAATGTTCTTTGTTTGCATTAAGACAGTATCCTGAAACACAGAGAAGAGGCAGCTATAAATATGTATTAGCTTTAATACAGGACATCCTGCTTCCACCGTGTTTCCTTTTCCTTCTTTTTCTTCCTTGATTTACAAGTGGTGTAAATAAACACTTTGAAACGACATATGGTGCATGAAATGAAAAAGGAAAAAACACTATATGATTGCTAATATCACAAACATGCACCAAGAGAAATACTAAACAGTGAGTATATGCATACAGATTTTTATTACCTGACTTTTGAATCAAACTTCCTAATGCCAGAGGAATGCAAGAATGGTGTCAAAAGGTACTGGTGCAAATGAGTGGCAGCTTTTATGAGCCAAACCTAGAAGAAAAGTAAATGGTACTGCACAGATTTGTACCCACTGACGTTTTCTTAAATAACCAGTGTACACATAATCAGAGTTCAAAGCCTTGAGATGCGTGTTCAGAAAAGGAAGTTGCACGTATTTGTTCGCACGTATGTGACATACAGTAGTTGAATATATGTCACATTCCTGAGCCAAAACAATGGTGTGCAAAGGCTGGCATAACCTAACTGTCCAAATATTTACACTTGGTCTGTGAGTCAACTTGGATATTCAGGGTTTAGTTATGAAAAGTATCCTAGAATCTGCTCTAATTAAAGTGGTAAAATAAAATAACTTCTTTTACTGTCCTGTAACTGTTGAAAAAAGTTACTGATACTAGCCATTTACTGGAATGCTTCCACATTCAAATTCTACCCAGTGGAAATAATGGTTATTTGTTTCTTTTTATTCATGTACTTGTGGGAAAAAGGCATCCAAACAATTGTAAGGCAAATATACACTTGTTCCACTTCTGAGGTCAAGTTTATGAGTGAGATATTTTTGCACTCAATAATAACATTAACCCAAAGAAAGTTATTTTTAATTAAATAACAATAGTAGTAATTTTTAATTAAATAACAATAGTAGTAAGCCAGATATTTTTTGTATGTGTCCAATCAGTAATTTCTTAGTTAAGTTTTGAGCTGAATTTAAGTGCTTGAATTCAAATTCAGCTGCCAATAGTCAGGAGGCCCTAAAACATTATTGACTGTGGTCAGCAGTAAAATGAAGCACACAGCAGGAGTGTAGTAACTTCTGGAAAGAGGCCACGGCTGGACATGTGAAAAGGCATGCTTAAAACATACCACTACCCTGCTCTCATCTAGAGACAGATCTTTTGGCTGTGGTGTCCTCTTTGCCCACTTGCAGTTTTCTCATCTTAGCTTTTTTTCTATGGTGAAGCACGTGGGATACACACAAGAAGCTTCACAAGAACAAACACAGAGTTGTCACCAAGAAGATGGACAGCTTTTTGTCAATAAATCAGAAGGCTGTCCAGGCCAAGTCGGAGGCAAGAGGGAACAACCTCAAAGCAGCAGTAGACAAGAACCAGTCTCAAAAGCCAGGCTGCATCTCACCAGACACTCGCTCATCCCAGGAGGCTATGCTGCTAATGTCTCATTTATGGCAGCAGCTTTCTAGCTCGGTCTAGATTTCACAATATTTTGTCCATCAGCTCAGGTATGAGTCACCAGGCGTTCTCCCTGAAGTGAGCAATCAACAAAGATAACAACAAAGCAGCATTATCCTTACTCTAACAAAAAGAAATGAGTCTATCACGCGGCAGCAAAGTCCATCATAAAATGGAAAAAACGTCAGTCTATTTGTAATCAGCTTCCCTGTTTGGCTGCGTGGGATGTTGCAATGAATTCAACACAACTATATTAGCAAGCATCATCACAGTGCAGGGTTTATACTCAGGTAAATGAAAGCAAAATCCAGGCACAAATCACCAAATAACACCTATCTATCTAACTACCTTCTATTTGTTGGTCCATACAAGATTATATCTGTCTCTGCCACATCAGCAAATAAATTTTCATCTTCTTTCCCTCACCAGCAGATGAACAACCTGTGGCAAATGCATTAGGCCAGGAAATCTCAGCCCAGAAGCACCATTTTTCATCACTCAGATAAAGCTGAAGAATCCTAACTGCACTTACAATAACAATGATCAACCATTATTCCAATAACTAACTCAAAATGATTGATGGATCATGCTAACTGACAGTCATCCTAGAAAAGCTCTTCTTTGTATGTCATTTTCTCCCCAGAGAAGTAAGAAATAACTAGAGAATAAGTTTCTTTTAATTTCAAAAAGACAGAGAAAGAGGGAAAAAGAGAGATCATGGGTCAAATGTCATTCACTTGGACTTCTCTGAAGATATTCCCACAATTAATGTACCCAGACTGGGCCAGCTATCCCAGACTGGGAACCAGACAGGGACTGGTAATCCCAGAAGATTTGGATATTCTGTGGATTTTTTCAGACTCTGGTGCTCAGATAGAGTGGAAATAAACAGTAAGGGAAAAGGAATCACTGAGGCTCTTATCTAAAGACAGCCATGGAATGTAATAACCTGTCTGTCTTTCATAAGCACAGCTTCTTTTCCACCATTTATTCTTCACAGCATTGGGAAAAATTTCTTAAAGGAAATGTGCTACCTTGCCCTTGTCAGTGAGAGAGGGTTTAGTAAGTAATAATAACTGGCAGAAAAAGTAGTAAAACGTGAAGTGTTGTAAATTCAGATATCAGCTTATCTCTTGGTAAACTTTTCTTTGCAACTATAACTTAAATAACTTGAACGGCAGGATTTTCACTTTTCTCTTTTTTTTTTTGCTTTAGGGAAAAACGTTCCCATTATACATCTCACTGGTCTATACTTATTCCGTTGTGAACAGCATCACCTCAGCACGAGAAAGAAACAGGAACCTTAAACTGCGTTACTCAGGTCATTGTGTGGACAGGAGCTTTGTAACATCTACAGCATATCCGGCCTGTGCGGAAGGAGCAGCTACACGTGAGGGACCACCAGGCAGAACACCTTTCCTCGCTGTGCCGCACTGAGCGCTTGGAGGCTGTACATCCTCCACGGATGCAAGGGAAGCACCTCAGAGCCAGGCCTGGCACCCACGGAAAGCGCAGCATCATTGTGGTAGAATCGGGCTGCGTTACCAGAGGGGTCCAGGTTTTCCCTTCCTTAGTTTCAATGCAGTACGTCAAGACAGACTCTGAAATAATCCATCCTCCTCACGGCTGAACGCCTCCCCTGCAGAAGGAGGAACTCTGCTCTCGCTGTGCAGCGAGGTGTTGACACACATCAGCCACAGCTATTCACTGAGGCCAAACTGACTGTGCTGGTTGAAACTGCCACTGGGAAAACGACCCCGTAATACTGCTGCAGAAGCTCTCTGGCGCGAGTGGGAGCAGAGCACTGTGCACGCCTCGCGCAGAGTTGAGTCTCTTACCTGACTCCTTCATTGAGGTTGTAAAGTTCGTGGTCCGGGAGACCCTTACGCTGGAACACCGCTATTACTCCATTGTGGATACTGCAAGAGGACATTAGGAGTTATTAGCACTCGATCACATTTTAGAAGGGTATCGCTTCCACAATAAGCCTGACATCTCTGCAGAGACACTGCAAGACCTTTTTAAAAGTCATAGATGACTTCTAGTACCCCATCCCAGATGCCTTCATAGGAATTATTGCCTACAAAACACATGCCATCTTTGAAAATCAGTTCTTTTTCATATGTTCCAACTCAGTAACTTCAACAGTTGCATATCTGAAATCAGTATTCAGAAAACTTAGGTTATATATTTCAGGTACATCAAATATATTAAGTATAATTTATAATATATTCATATATTAAGTATATTTGAAATATTTTAAAGTGTATTTTTGTCTCTATGGCTGACTATAGAGACAATTAACAGCTTCACTATGAGATCAGTGATGATATTCCCAGCATTGTTGGCATATATTTGTCTAAGCTATGGTTACTTGATTTCTTTATCAACAAATCAGCATTTATCCAGTCTGGACACTATATCTGAAGTTTAACCCACAAATACAGCATCCTTTTACTAGAATGTAATCTCAAGAATGGTTAGTTCTTTAAAAAAAAATAGTAAAAGAAACACTGGACAACTATGAATTTTAAGTCAATTTAACCAATCTCTCATTTATTTTCAAAAATGAAACAATAGAAAAGGGGCAATTGGTTACAAAGACTTTCCTATTACCACTCATTCATTTCTCAAAGATTTATGCTCTTGCTTCACCTAAAGGAAAATCAAGGCTGCGCTGAAAGAACAGGTCTAGAGTTTCCAAGGCAAACAGCGAGGGAGGCAGTGATGTGCTCGGCACAGGCCAACCATCTGTCCTACGAAAACGCTTCCTTTTCTTTTTCAATGGCATTTGTAACTGTTCTGCAAGCACATGCTGCTTAGAGGTAGTGACTTTCTGCTGCAATCAGATGCAATTGAAGACAGGATTGAGACCACAAAATTCTCTAGCTCAACAGAAAGTCACATACCCAGCGCTGTCCATTGCTGGGGTATATGGCCACCAGCCCTGCATTTAAGATGCTGAATGGCAAAAACCCGCCAGGTGTTGCAGGTACCTGGCAACCCACGTTCTTAGCAGGGATGCTTACTGATCCCATGAACTTAACAAGGCTGCACCTCAAAGGGTTACTGAAATGAGTACATGCTTCAAGAGGAAGCTCTGAAATGCTCCTGAAATACACCTGACACAATTAGTGTGATCACACGTCAGCCTAAATCACTAAGCTTAGTGATTCACCTTGTCTGAGGACAAAGGTGAAGAAATGCCAGAGAAAGGTGAGACCAAACCTGTTCTGGCATTAGTAGAAGAGAGTAGGAGTCTCCTTCCTCTTCCCTAATCCAGTGCCACCTTTTATAGCCTCATAGTTTTGACTCCAAAAGGAAGGAAGACTCACACAGTCCCTCCGTCTGTCAGCTCATCCCTATTCCTCCACTCTTGGAATCGCTTAGCAACTCCTGTCACATTTAACTACAGAGTGGAAGTCCCGAAAACATTAAGGTCTTTTAGGTTTCAGCTGGGGTGGAAGGAGCATCTTTTAGTGACCAAGAACATACTGCAGGGTGAACTCAGCCTTTATTCGACATGCACACAGATGCTTTGGCTTCCCAGCGCCGACACGCAAGAAAGCAGCCTGTATCTGCTCCCCTGCCTGTGCTATTGCCACTCGGTTTCCAGTACAACTGCTTTTACCGAAATGACCATTCCCACTGCCTGCAGTGACCGCAAGTCATTTCACTGCTGTCTGACTCAGTTACCCCATGTGTAAAATAAAGGTGATGACGCTGATGACTAAAGGACATTTTAAGATATATTTATGAAAACGATAACAAAAGCAGTAAGTGTGATTATCAATAGCGGTATTACACACCATCATTGTCACTGTTTTCTTCTTCTTCCCTCACAATCCTACTAACCACAAAGGAAAAATACAGATTTTGGCATGCAGCTCTTCCTATTCAAGGTTGCACCTGAGAAGCGGAGATGACATCTTAAGGCATAATACAAAAAGCACACAGCAGAAGTCTTCCTGCTCTGCACCATCTCCCTGGCTGTCTCTTGTTCTGCATGCCACCTCCCAGCTTGTACTCGGCAGGAGCAAGGAACAGCAACAACCAGCCTCAGGGACACTTACAAGGTGTATTTAGGAGTCACCGACTTGAATCTCACCCCTAGAATATCTACCAAAGAGATCTTCCAAGAATAAGAAGCTATAGCATGCACATCCCTCCTGAGGATCTGCTTCTACCAGTGACTCCACAATATCATTTTTCAGAGCTTTGCAGCTGAACTCCTCCTGCTCACACTGCACTGGAGTCTGGTGCAATGGAGCAGCAAACAGCTTTGGAGCTCCGGAAGGCAAAGCCAGGACCAGATTTGCTCATCCTGGAGGTACCAGGATTTGGAGTTGCCCTGTCTTGTGAAGAAGAGCTAAAGGTGATTATCTGTTTGAATGGTCTCCAGAGGGAGGAAGCCTGATTCCTACTAATGAACGAGCCTGGTCAGCTCTGTCCTGGTGTCGGCTCCAGGGCCAGATCCAGCCATGTGCAGCTGCTTCCACTGCAAAGGGATGTCATTGCAGGCACTATGCCAGGTGGTAGCAAAGCATGCCTGGGGACCTCAGGCACCCACATCAAACCTTCCCAGGTCCATCATAAGACAACCCCTTTCAATACTTGCTGGAAGGATGGGCTGGAAGGCAAACCCAATGTTATTCAGTGAGAGATGTGAAATGCAGGCACACAACAATGCTGAACAGCACAGAGATGCACTGTTAGAAAAGCTCATCCACGTTCATGTGTGGAAAAAGGAAATTAAAAGTGGCAGGTGAAGGATATGACCCGCTGTGGAGAAATGCACAAGCGGATAAAAACAGGAACCACCAGCCTCTTCTCTCTTTTGCTCCTTTGAAGACATTTCCAAGGCATTAAGCGCTCCCCCACCACGGTGGTCCCTCTTTCCCCTCTACACCCACGTGCACAGACATACACTCACGATCTAACCCAGCTTATTCTGGCTGGCTCAGACAGACACACTCAATTTACGATTATTTGAAAAGTGGCAGCTAAATGTCTCCAATATACAGTGAAGTGACTTGGGTATTCTAATATTATGAGTAATCTGTGAAGTACGATTAATGTAGTGAATAAAACAAGCAGTCTTTACACGCTCTTCTGATTCGGAAATGAACTTTGCAATGTTCCCTGCCAGCTTTCTTGAGAGAAGAATGACTAAACACCTCTCCTAAAAGCCAACGTGCTCTCTCTCCTCTCTTACACTCCTTTCTAAATGAGTGGGAGGTTTTCCCTTTCCAGCTTAACAGGTCCATTATTATTTCGCAAAGAAATAAGACAGAGCAAGCTTTTTTAACAAGAACTAAGGGGGACAGGTTGTGAGCATTTAAGTCACTGCCTCTGTAGTAGAACTGCACCTACATAAAACAACTTAGCGGTGATCTTTTAGTCTGCTTGGGATCTCCCTTGTAGTGACGGACAACTGCCTTGTCTGGAAAACAAGTCTTGGCCCCGCTGCATTGACCACCTGTCTTTCCTTCCCACTGCAGACAGCAGCGCTTGCATGCAGGGTGCAGGCATGTGGTCCCAGGCTGCAGGTGATGTGAGAATGCCACTGTAATCTGGCCCTCCACACTTGCTCAAGAAGCAACAAAAAGGAGCTGGAATAACTAGGATGCTATCGATGGCATAAGTTGGTGTCAGGATAATAAAAAGTTAGATTAAATCTTCTCAGTTACCTTAAGCTAATGAAAAAAACCAATCCCAACCCTTGCAAAAATCAAAGTAATGCTATGGTTTCTATAATGAGTGTTTAAAAGGGTTTCGTCAGAATGGTACAACCTTTTGGTGTAAAAAAAATCCAAGCTGCTGCTTACACACAGAAGTCCAGCAAGATGCTTCAGGTGGGTGGATCATTTTCACTTGTGCCTGCGACCAGCCTTCACTGAGGCTCAAGTCACTAATGTATGTAATTAAACTTATATTTTAATAGTTAGCCTGAACTGAAAATGCCTTGTAAACTCTCTTCTGTAACTCTTTCACAATGTGAAAGTTAGTAACAGGTGCATTCATGCACTGATACTACTCTGAGCACTTTCCCTGTAGTTGCTGTGGGTGTAAATGTGTGCACAGTTGCGGAACAACTGCAAATTTGGGCTCACAAGTCTCTGCCTGAATCCTCAACTCCTGTTTGCTTCGACAGTGGCCGTGGCCCTCCCAGCTCGGCGTTTCCTGGCGAAGCGGGTGGAGTGGCCCACGTTTTCATTCATGCACAGCACGCAGGTAATACTGGTTCTCTAAAGCAGTCACTACCTTCATATGCAAACAGCATGAGTGAAAATATCACGGCATTTTTTACTTAGCGTTTGCAAATTCTCCCCTTTCCAGAGCTCCACGAGCAAAACCAATGCTGTGTGAATAATCATGCCCTACGAGTAGCGGGTAGTTAGAGGCAACATTTTAATTTTCAAAAGGGACTAAGTGACTTAGGGCTCATTTCCTCTGGACAGTTATGGGAATAACTAATTAACAATAATTAACTTGATATAGTCACATCAAAACCTCCTTGAAGACACCCTCACATCAGAATAAAACCTCATTTTTCTGAATTAGCTTAATCCAATCGGGTAGAGTCCATTTGCAGCACAGCTTCAGTCCAGCTGCAACTCCACAGGCTTTCCACGAAGCCTTGACCCTTTCAAAACAAGCTTGCAGCTGCTAGTCCACTTATGCTTCTGGAATTTCTACCCAAGGTAAAGCAATCTGCAAAGAGGGATAGGCTGCAATTACGCACTGGATCATACAAGTGAAAATAAGCTGGTCTGCAAAACTCCATCTTCAAAGAGTTTGAGAGGCGTTAGTTCACTAACTTCACCAACTATAAACACTACTCATATATAAAGAAGATGAGATAGATTAAGTGAAGGGACTTCCTTGGGGTGTTACCAAGAGCAGTATCTCTACAGAGTGTAGGACCAACGAGATTTTGGTTTCCAACTATACCTGCATTCAAGCAAGCATAAGTATGTCTGGAGGGCTATGGGGAGAAGCAATTTTCCACCACCACCACCACCACCACTTTCTATTACTGTAGTCAGAGCTGACATGTGCTCCATGGTGCAGTGGTGGCTTGACCAGCTGGGAAGTCCCCTTCACTCTCCCATCCCTCTTCCCCATGCCACAGCTCGGCTCTGTCTGCCTCCCATGCCTGCACACGACCAAATGCTCCAAAGAGGGCTCCAAATAAAGGGTCAGGAAAAAGGCGGTGATGCTCAGACAGGCAGCAATATTTCAAAATATTTCTAATTAAACACCGAATGTTGGAAGAAAGAAAATTTCTGAGTAGAACTAGTAGATAAATATGCTGGTCTGGAATGTTTTCTGCACTAGAAATGCCTCTCTGTGATCTGAAAAAACATTCATTTTTAATTAGGAGATGAAATATAGTTCCCATGACTGTAAAAATTACTTTGCGGCAAGTTATTGTGCTTATTACAACTCTGTAAAAATTAGCCCAAACCATAAAACTCTTTCTGATTCCGTATGACTCTGGATTTACTGCTGATCTCACTAATGTCATAGGCATCTCACCCCTTCTTTTCTATCTCCTACTCCTTCACGTTTCCCTGAATTTTCCCCATTTTCTTATACCAAAGAGGATCTAATCGCCTTTGACTCAAGGCTTTCCCATAGCACAACTCAGACAGTATCAGCTCCTGATTAGGCAGTCTGTGCTAGCTCAGTCAGAATGAAAACCTCGTGATGGATTTTATTTGCCCTGAGAGAGGCCCCCCCAGCTTGCAAGCTCAAGATTAAAAACCTGGGGTTTCTCAGCCCAATTGGTTTAGTCAGCATTCAGCCCTCATATTTTGCCCAAAGCATAAAAGGAGGGGGGGAGTAAAGGAACTGAAGACAACGCTAGTGAAAAAATCTAAGCTATTTTAATCCAATGCAAATTCTGTGAGCTGTAACGAAACTGTATTGTTCCACTATGTTGCTGTTGGTTGCTAGTTAACGCGCGCTGCCGGTGCGTTGCTGTACAGATCTTTTGGGGTTCACGTGAAAGCAAGCTCAGAAAAAGCCATGATATAAAGTCTGATTTGCATAGTGGCAGACAGCAGCTCGGCATTGATTTCCCTTTGATCTAACAGTGTCGAGAAGTTGTACAGCATTTTAGCTTGGAGGTGAAGGAAAGTTACCAGGGAGGAGGAGACCTTCCTTGCTAGCACTGAGTGCTACGTGCCCCCTGCACGCTGAGCCCTGCGACTGGGCTCCTGCCGTTTGCCCTCCCTTGGTGTCAGAAAGCAGCAGTCATCCTCTGGCATGAACAGTCTGAGGGCTGAGACCGGTCTCAACAGAGCGGAGGTGGCGGAGGGGACGTCGGTGGGCAGCCAGACTGCAGTCACACACAAGCCAATTGCAGAAGGGGAGCCACACACCCTCCTCAGAAAAAGCCTGCAGCGACAGAGCTGCTACCTTGCAGAAGACCCCAGCAGCAAAACTCTGGCTCTGCAGTGTTTCAGCATGGTCCCTGGCAGGGCTGAGGCAGCATCCTCGCTCCACCTCAAAGGGCTGACTTTCCACACGGGATCGATGTTCTTGTGTGGGGCAGGGCCTGTCGTGAGGTTGTGCTTTACCTCTCCCCACATCAGTTTTGATGAACTTGGTTCAAAGCCTCTTTCAAAAGCAGATACACACATGCCACACCCAGGCACAGCTGCTAACATTAGGCAAGAAACCAGCATACATTTAAATATAGAACAGCCAGGCTTGGGGAGAGGGAAGAGCTCTGCTGGTGCATCTTGACTTCCGTGATCAGCAAGCTCTTACCTTGATATTGCACAGAATGAAACAGCACGGGCGATCCTTTCATTTGTAAGAACAGATATTCTCATAAACCAAAGTATGATAGGTCAGTCCTGTGTTGGGGTGCTTCAGTTTTGCAGGGGAAAAACAGAAAAACTTCTGCAGCCCAAGACTTTCAAAACCTACCCAAGATTTCTAGTGAGTCGAAGTTTAGATGCCCAGTTTGTGACACTGATGTTAACGGTTTCTCCAGGAGGGCTGAATATTGACTCCTTCAAGACCAGACCCTGTTACACACGCCAAGATAGGGACGCATTGGTGATAGGCAGAAGCTACAGTGGATAACTTCTTAATACAGTTAATCCAACGTCATTTAAGCCCTGGCTTTCCTGAGGATAAGCTCCAGTTTTACAGCCTGTAGAATATCTGAGTTTCTTCAAACCAAGAGAGGATACAAGTCTCTTTGTGCATGAAAGAAGAATTACCCTCATTCTCTTTTCCACTCAGGAGAAAGCCTTGCACTAGTAAACAAGAAACAAAAGGACTTCCCTTTGTCCATGCATTGCAGCTGGCTTGTAACCTGCAGTACTTGCCATAGCTTTAGGCAGCTGTAAGCGAAGGCACACGATGCCCACTTGACTCGCCACGGCAGGGAG